TAATTAAGCTCGCATTCTATTTCACTTTCAACCTCTTAAACTATTTTCGAGAAGTCATCAAATGCTGCCCGTCGAAGTAATGACACCGCTATCGGGGAAAACAACAGAGGCAAGAAATTTTGGCCATAACACAAATTAGGGAGCAAAATCCTTAATACCGATTTTCAAAATTTAACCCACTTATCTTACTCTACTTCTTAATATTGGAGTTAGATAACTAACATGTGTAAAGAATTAGTTAAATTAGTTATTTGTAATAAATAGATATTATCTTTTTAAAAATATTTTTATCAATCATGTATATTTGAATTAGCTTTTGACAGTAACTCATTAACGTGTGCAATTATCATAAAGATAATTTTGGAACAAAATAACTAAATATTAAAAACATAATAGATTGGGATATTATATTTACTACTCCCTCCGTTCCTTATTATAAGAGATAAATAATCGAAGTACGTTGATAAAAAAACAGTTAAAATTAGTTAAGAACAATTAATGTGTAAAAAGTATAATTTTTTTCTCCAAAAATGCCCTCATTAATAAGGAGAGAGAGTATAAGAGAGAACAATTAAATTATTAAAAGAAAGAAAAGTGGAAGGGAGAGTGTGAGTTGGAGATAATAACTATGGGTAAAATATGAAATTAACAAAAAAAAGCAAAGACAACTTTTAAGTGTCTCTTATATATAGAAATATCTCATAAGCATCAAATGTCTCTTATAATAAGAAACGGAGGGAGTATTTAGAACTAAATTGAATCTTCAAGTAATTATTATGTTAGAGATAGAAGGTAGAATAACTTTTTTTTTTAACTACCTCTGGTTCTTAATGTAATAGCTGGTTTGACTTTTAATTTGGTTTTAAATATAAGATCCCTAATATACTTTGTTTCTCATATTTATTCATTTTTTAAAGATAATCTTTATAGTAGTGGCACATGTTAAATGTTCAGTGAAATGAATAGCTAATATAAATGATTAGCAAAGTCATTCATATGAATGACAACACCTATTTATTACAAATAACTAACTTAATTAATTTTTTATTTATTTAAATTAATTAACTAATTCTTATATTAAAAACAGAGACAATATTTAAAATCGGGGTTTTTAATGACCCCTGCTTAAGGGTGTATTTAGTATTATGAGTAGAGAACAACTAAAACAATGTGAGGGTTGCAGTAGAGGGGTGATTTGGGTGGGTTTGATAAGAGAAGTATTGAAGCGACATTGTGATTCCATTTTGTTGTTGGCCTACCACACTGTGAATTGTGAATTGTGATTGCCATTGGCAACGGAGGGGGCCAACAAAAAGTTGCCATGTGAGTCATTGTCTATCGACTATCGTACCTGAAAAGGGAGGGAGTGCCGTTGCGGGGTCCACCATAACGCTGAATTCCGTCATGTTATCCTCCCACCCCCCTTTTTTTTCCCTTTTATAAAAAAATGAGAAGATAAAATTATAAAGGAAATATGGTTAAAAAAAAAGACCGTCAAAATAAAAAAATTATAAATAAACACCTCTGACAATATTAGTATAGATTTTGACAATAATGATATGAATTTTGATAATAATTTTTACAAACCGATCCCTGTATGTAATTTTTTTATTTCACCAGTTTTTTTTTACTATTTTTTCAATTATAAGCGAGATCGAATATATAATCTCCATATTATTAGACCATAAAGACTATTGACAATTTTCACATTTCTCGTTTACATTGGCAGCTTCTTCCTCCTTCCTTGGGGCTTTTACTCGTAGCAATCAATTACTTTTATTCATTCATATAAATAAAAGGCCACCATAATTTTTCCCCTTTGGTGGAATCCAAAAAAAAAAAAATCTGATTCTTAATATAAGACTTATTTTATTGATTTGGATAAATTAAAAAAGTTACTAAATTACTTTAACCTGTTTATATTTATCGTTTTTTTAAAAAACTAATTTATCTCACTTATAGATTGATATACAATCTAATTATTAACACAAGTATTTTAGAAAAAGCTATGTAACTTATATAATTAAGTATTATCTCTGATCCTAATTATAAGATTTTGTTTATGGACTACAAACGCATTTTATAATTAGAACTGGAGATAGTAATTTAGTAATTTTTTAATCTTTTTAAATTAATTAATTAGGTTTTATACTAAAAATTAGAGATAGTAATAATTAAAAATTTGAATCTGAAATCCACGTAATATAGGAGAAGTGGGGGCCATGACCCCATATATCACACCTAATTCAAAGGATCAACATGGTAGGACCATTGCTGTCTTCTTCATCCTTGTCTCCCTCCCTCAAATTATGGTCAACGGCAGGATGAGAGACGTCCTCCCATGTTTCTCTCCCAGTAATATATATATATATATATATATTTATATACTCCTCTGGTCCTAATTATAAGACCCAATTGACTTATTTAAGGAGATTAAGGAAGTAAGTTAAGTTGGTTATTTATAATAAATAAGTGTTGTTATTCCTAAAATATCCTTGCTAATTAAGTATATTAGCTAAAACTATCATTATTAGAAGGATTATCTTGGAAAAAAATGCATAAATATAAAAGAGAAAATGGATTGGATCTTATAATTAGGACCAAATGAAAAGTCAAATTGGATCTTATAATAAGGACCGGAGGAGTATTTATCCTACACATATTCTTATACTACCTCCTTTTAAACCAATTAAAAAGAACACACACAAACAAAATCCTTGTTCTAATATAGAAAACATTTTCTTTCTACCTTTTCATTATTATTCTCCATTTTGACTCCTTTAGTTTTTCCTCCAGTTTTTTTTCCAATTACTAAAACAAAGCATTACTATCTAAATATGTACTCCTCCGGTTCTTAATATAGGACCCAATTATTGAGTTAATTTTGGTCTTAAATACAAGACCCATTTCTTATATTTATCAATTTTCTCTAAATTATCCATATGGATACTCCCTCAACCATAATTAAGTAGAAGAGGAAGATAGAGTATTAAGAAAGATGATTATGGTATTTTTGGAAAAACGTGTCACATTTCTTATAATTAACTAACTTACCTAACTTCCTTGATCTAATCAAATTAGTTAAATGAGTTTTATATTAAGGACCGGTAGAATATTATTATTTAGGTAAGAAAATGTCCTACTACTGCACTACCTCCATTTCTTAAAATAAAAGTTAATTTGATATTTAATTTGATCATAAATATAATATTCTAATTTGCTTTATCTCTCATATTTATTCATTTTTTTAAAGATAGTCCTTATAATAGTTTTACATATTAAATCTTTCATTAATTAGTAGTTCTAACTAATACATATGATTAGTAAAAATATTTTAGGAAAGATAATATTTATTTATTACAAATAATTAACTTAATTAATTTTTTAATCTATTCAAATTAGTTAACTAATTCTTATAGTAAGGACCGGTAAGAATACTTAAATTAGACATCCATCATTTTTCTTAAAGGTACCGTCAGGCTTATCTTCATCATAATAATTTTATAGGCGCATTTTGCTTGGATATTAAAATACGCATGCATTTACATATTCATTTTGTTATGATTAAAGCGAATCATTTCACCACAGCAACACTAACAATAACTCCTTCGTCGATCTTGTACATGACTCGATTTCAATAATAAAATTTATCTCAGATTACTTTAGCTTATTCAAAATAAAAAAATTGGTAATTTAATACTTAAATTTTTATAATCAGACAAAGATATCAGTGTCTTGCACCAAAACAAACGTACGTTTAGTAAAATGGGGGAAACAGGGATGGGTTTGTTGAGCGCTTGCTTAAACAACAAAACACGACAAAGACTTTCACTCCAAAAGGAAAAAAGAAACACGACAAAGACTAGTCGAGTTGCGCTGGGTGGGCTGCCTGCTCGTTAACTAATACCGCATTGCGTTTTCTCTGCTCTGTTGCAGTTAAACCGTTGAGCTAACTAGAGTACTAACTTCCGTTCTCAGTTAATTTTTATTAAGTTAATTATTTGTCATAAATAGATCTTATATTTTCTAGAATATTTTTATTAATAGTGTGTATTAGTTAAAATTACTATTAGATAGAACATTTAATATGTGTAACTACTACAATGACTATTTTAGAAAAATATATATAAATATGAAAGACAAAGTGAACTGAGATCTTATATTTAGAATCATATTGGACGTCAAACTAGTTCTTATATTAACAGCTGAAAGTAGTATATAGATAAAAAAAAGTTGAATATAATGAAAGAGGCTAGTTACTCATGACATAATATTCAAGAGAATTGCTTATATTTAGTTCTAACAGTTTTTTGAATAGAATTGCCTTTAATAAAAAAATATCTATGTATAACACAAAATTTATATTATATATTATTCTTTTTGTTGATACATATAGTATATATTATTTTGATATTAAATATAAGGCTCTAATTTATTTTATATTGATTACATATATTAAAATTTTTTTTTATCAAAAAGTGGTTTGAATGTAAAAACTCTTCTAAAAAAAGGAGGAGAAAATTTTAAACGCAGAAAAAAAAGAAAAAAAAAATCTTCTAATCACATTCTTTAATAAAAATAGTAAGATAGGTTATTTTTATGGATTTAAAACATATTTAATAATTTAACTAACTTTTTAAAATTTTTAATTAATGAGAAAGTTTAACCCAACCAACGACGTGGCGGAGCATTATTTTATTTTATGAACAATATCTAATACTAACTCTCTCTCCGCATTAAAAGCGCCATGAAACCCGCCTGTCAACAACAATCATCCCTCTTCAATCATTCTTTCCAAACTCCCACATTCTCCCTGACAAGAACATAGAAGTTGTGGTGGTACATTTTTTCTCCCATCTCAAACCAAAAATATTATATTATATATAATTAAATATAAAATAAATAAATATTCACAGTACCGTAAAATTCACTGGATTTTCTTTTGTTTCCTCAAACCTGAAAAGGCACACGCTCTTCCCCCCCACCCCCCATCCTGCATTGCGCAACGGAGAACAGAGTGATCGGAGAGAAGGAGCATATGAGGGAGGAAATTGAAGCTTGTCATTGCTGAATTGTGACAAATGCCGATAGCCAGGTACCAGCTGAAGAGCGAGCTCAGTTTGGCGGATCCTGAGCTGTACAGAGTTGCCGATAAGGATGATCCTGAAACTGTCTTAGAAGCTGTCGCCTTGGCCGGACTCGTCGGCCTGTTGCGCCAGCTCGGCGACCTTTCTCAGTCAGTTCCTTCTCCATATCTTAACTCTTTTCTTTCTTTGAACTGTTCTTCATTCCTGATTTTGATAGCCGTCGTGCTGCTGCTCCAGTGCTGAAAGTTGATTTTAGCACTTTTGGTTATTATACTTGGTTGAATGATCGTTTAGCTGAGAGTGTCTGCATAATCTTAGTTGAGTTAGCTTTTGTTTGGCTAGATTTTTGTGTTTGTGCTATATTAACTGTTCTTGGATTTTTAGCATTTTACTATTTTGGTCGTTATTTTGCCGAAAAAGATGGATCCTGTTCCGAATTGGATGTAAGATATGTTAAGCTGACAAACTGGGCTGTTTGTCAGGTTTTATATCTGAATCCTGACAAATGATTTCGTCTGGTTATTCTTTGATTCTGGTTCACCTTTCTTTCCCCCCTTTAAACATCTCTCTCTGTCTCATCTCCCTTAATTCTCTTTTACTATTGGATCCTAACAAAGGGCAATAATAAGTCCAGAGACTGATCGAATCAGATATTAAGTTCGATGACTATGTCGTTAGTGCATCTGAAGATATCATATTTAATTAGAAACATTTCATTTCATGACATCATTTGTCATTACTTAGTACCTTACCTATCTGATATCTGAAAAACATAACTAGAAAATGAATTCGACGCAGAAGGGAAGAAATGTCCATTTAATAGAACATTTTACGAGAATTAGCCTTAGTGCATTACAAAAATAGTAATTTTCCTTCGGGCCGGTTGGAGAGGGATCGCTTTGGCTCCATCCCGACATACTCTATCCACAATCATCTCAACAACCAGCTGAACTAATTTTTTTAGGCTTATTTCTGTGAGTCGGTTTCATCAAATACCTTTGGTCACGAAAATGTATCCATCTGGCAAGCATTGTGATAATCCTGACTTTCAGCGTCTTGCTACTAATCACTGAAGTGTTAGTTCTATTTGTAAGAGTTCATATGTTCTGGATTATCTGGTGTTATTTCCTCCCACTCTTGGCCTAGTAGGCTGTGGTTTTTTTCACCACCACATCTACATGTGCTTTTTCAATATAACATTTGCATACGTCTAACAGCATTATTCTGGTTAGATTTGCTGCTGAGATCTTTCGTGACCTGCATGAAGAAGTAATGGTCACTGCTGCAAGAGGTCAAGGTCTTATGGCTCGTGCCCAACAGCTTGAGGCTGAAGTTCCTTCACTTGAGAAGGCTTTCCTATCCCAACCTCATCACTTATCATTTTTCTCTAAGGGAGGTTAGATTTCCTCACTGCATAGTTGTGTTTATGGTTTCGATTTATCGTCTTAATGATATTTGTTCCTTTCGTCAACCTTTCAGCGGCATCCGCCTGTAGTTAGTTAGGGAATGAAACTCTACACTTCATCCCAAAAAAAGGGCTAAATGGTCTTGTTAAATGCAGAATTTTCACAAGTTGAAACACTTGCTATTATTGGCCCTTTGACAGAGTTATATGCATTTGCTAACGGCATTGCAGGGATCGGTTGGCATCCAAATCTTCGGTCTGAGCAAAATCTTATTACTCGAGGAGACATGCCTCGATTTGTAATGGATTCATATGAAGAATGTCGTGGCCCTCCCCAGTTGTTTCTCCTGGACAAGTACGACAACATGATTAATCGTACACAAATAAATTTAAACGATAAACAAAAAGTGATTATCTTCTATACATTTTAAACCTTTTCATTTTCTTGTTTTTGGCTTCTAAAAGGTTTGACGTTGCTGGGGCTGGGGCATGTTTGAAGCGTTATACTGATCCGTCATTCTTTAAATCGGAGCCAGCTTCCTCTGGACTAGCAACAGTTGAAGTGTTCAGGGAAAAGAAAAATCATAGAATCAAGGTACCAAAGTGTCAATTACATCATTTGCTGACACGATTCTTGTGGAAAATCTATTTTAGATGGTGCAGCCTATTATTTCTCAATAAAAGTTATCCTGTTGCCTTCATACTGTGGTAGTACCATTGGGAATCTTGCTGCAAAACCTTAATTAAAGTGGAATTGTGTGAATTATATTGTTCACAGAAAGACAGGCAGACAATTTTTTGTCATTGCTTTTTTGGATCTTGCTAGGATTTCTGTATACCTGCTAATTAGTATATAAAAAAATGTTATGCAACTGAAGATTGAACATCTAAAGATTTGAAGAAAATGTTTATTTCTTTTCCCTCCAGAAGAAAGGCACACGAATGAGGAATGGTGAAACCCCTGAAGTTGCATCAACACATACTAAGTAAGTTCCAATAACTTTATTTTGGTGCATTAATTACTTTATCCTTCCAGTTCGCTAAGTGCATAAAGCTGACGAAATGGTTGATTGGTGACAATTCAATTTCCATACTTGCAGGCTGCATCAGTTGCTTCTTGAGGAGCGCATTGAGAGTGCTTGTGCTGATCCTGGACGTCAAGTGAAATTGAAGAATAGACAATTAAATGGCTCTGCAACTGAAACAAAAACTGGGAAAAGCTACATGGAAAAATTTCTGGAATCTCCGTTGCAAGATGAAGTGGTTCGTGAAACCTCATTCTCTCCACCTCATGTGAGATTGGTGTCGGATGATACTAGTGAAGAAGGGATTAAAATACTTGAAATCAGTACTGTTGGACCTGTAAAAATGTCCTTGGAAAATGAAAGGACATGTTCATGGACTAATGAAGAGGAAGCAGTACTAAAGCCATCCTCAGAAAAGCGCAGGCAGACAGATGGCAATCTTGTGAAGAAGCATGAACAAGGCTCGTCTCGTGTCTCAGATGAAAGATCTTACAACTATAGTGAGGTACCTCATGAAACGAAATTGGAAATTGATGATCAAAAGGAAGGAGAAAATTTCTTATATGGTTACCATTCTGACGGTGATTTGAGTGGGGAGGTTGACCATCACTTGAATGCGTTAGCTACCGTGGAGTCAGAATTGGATACAGGTTATAAGTACAGAGATAAGAACAGGTTCCTGCGTATTCAGAACCTAAAAGATTCTGATGATAGAGAACGTCAGCAGCGGGATCGGTTTTTGCATTCTCAATCATTTTCAGACTCCCTAGTGTCTGATGAAATTAGTTCATTCAACCGAGATATAAATGAAGTACATGCTGAGCGACAAGCTCAATTGTCCGATTCTCAATCAGGAATCTCCTTCACATCAGATGATCAAAGTTCACTCAAAAGGGATAGAAATGAAGAATATAGCAAACGGCAAGCTCAGTTTTCAGATTTTCAATATATCGGAAAATCTTCCGCATCAGATATGAATAGTTCTTTTGACAAAGACATTCCTTGTTTCTCTTGCTCTGATTCTTTAAGCACTGTGGGTGAAAATATAACATCAGAACCAGTGTCACTTAAATCTAACAAGTATAATAGGTCTGAGATTGAAGATACATCATCAAACCAGCTTACTCAAATTTTTGAGGCACAAAAAACAGATCGGGGTAAGTTTCTCTTGCATGGTGGTACACGTGATCAGGAAAAAGTGGTTTCTGGTACGGGAGATGAGTCGTCTGGTTCATATCTGATAAATTCAGGACGTAAGTCGCTATATTCAGATCTTGCATCCGCTTCAATGATGAAAATATCTAACAGGGATCAATCGAAGGAAACACCGACTGGCCTCATTGAGCATCAGTTAAGATTAGCAGATGAGGGCACAAGGCACCACGCTGAATCTATAGATGCCATTCCTGACGCTACAGTATCTTCTGAAAAAGGTCTTTTGAACGAGTCTGCTGATGGTGACCGAACTGTCAATGGTAATGCTATATTAAATATTTCAAATGATTTAAAATTAGTTTCTGACAATGAGCGCAGTGGATGTTCCAAGATCAAAGGATTGCAAGCAGAATCTCCGAGCCAAAACTGTTCTGACATTTTGGTTTGTCGGGAGATTGGTACAGATGAACATTCAATTTGCTCATCCACGGAATTAGACATGCATTCTTTAAGTACTACCCTCATGCTGGATGTCCAACCTTTAAAACCTGCAGACTGTACTGAGTCAACACATCTCAACTCACAAGATGAATCAGACTCAGTGGGAGTTGAAGCTGAATGTTATGATCAGCAATCATATTTTGGGGAGCTACCAGAAATGGAGCATAGTGATGAATTGAGTGGATCCACTTGTAGAGTGGATGCAGATGAAGATGACAATCTTCATAAAGGTTCATCTTCTGGGGTCCATGGTGGGCAGGATTATCATGTCACAGATGATGTGGCTTATACAGAACTTCAGCCAGAAGATCAATCAGTATCTGTTGATGCTGCTGAAAATGATGCGAATATTGCTTCTTATCCCGCTTCCAGTATGATCTCTTCTGCATCAAGAAATCTTTCAAATTTACAAGAACCAATACCTGGCACATGTTCCCATGAGACAAAAATGGAATCTAATCAGGTAGAACAGATCAAGATTGCTGTTGACTCGAATGCAGAAAATAGGGAGAATGAACAGGAACCATCTTCAGATTCGAATATGGTATCTACGTCAATGACGAGTTCTACAAGTTTTGAGGAATCTCATTTCTCTTTTGCTGACCCTCAAGAGAAACAGAGGGAAATTAGCGAGGCAGTCGATAGAGAATCCTTGAGAAAACTGGAGAAACAGGGGGGTGTGCATCAACTAAATGCTGCTTGTGCCAACGTAGAACTGAGCCTAAACAGATCGGTGCCCTGTGATAATTCAGAAATATGTGAAAGTATTAAAGGTTCGCTTCCTAAGGAGCAAACTGAACACAGTTCCGTCAAGGATAAGATTCTCAAGTTTTCAAAGCTAGATTCTCAGGAACCAAAATCCATACCCCTTTTGCGGAGTAAACGTTTACGGAATGGCCAAGATGGTTTGGCATCTTCTTTTTTTAACCAGCTGGAGTCTGGAAATCGTTTGAAGAAGTCTTCGCAATTACAAGATGGTCAAGGGGATGCAGGATTTCTACCTAGCTGTGCAGAAATTTCTTCCTCAAACAAACATCAACCTGAACAGGTGCAAATATCAGAACACTTGGAAAAGGAAAGAAACTCTAGTGCTTCCTCTACATCTGTTTCTGAAATCCATCTAGGTCAATCTTCGTCATTTGAATCATTTTCAATATCAGTAAGCCAGAAGGTTAACTCCACAAAACATGTCATGAACGAGCCTCTTTCTCCTCTTCAGGCCTCCTTATCCGAGGCACCTAAAATCAATTTTGGGGAGATGCCACCCATGCCCCCGCTCCCACCTATGCAATGGAGAACAGGTAAGGTTCAACCTTTTTCCCTCGCTTCAAATAGAGAAGTCTCATTCCAACCAATACAGTCGATTAAAAGTGGAGAGCAGGCTCAATATAGTTTACCAATTTCCGAGAGAGAAGCTTTGCAGTTTCAGAATCCTGTTATATCTGTCATGGCTGTGGAAGGTGAAAAGCTCCAGAATACCTCAGGATTTTTGGTGGGTGGGCATCCTGTTGCAATTTCTATGCAACTACCAATCATGCTTAATGAAGTAAACGGCAAATATAATTACCTGGTTTTGGAGAGAAGCCAGACCCACAACCCATTCCTAACATCATCTGTGCCTGTGGTACCTGCCGGCAAGCCTGCCGAAGGTTACATTGGTGCCTCAGAGGGAGAAATGGTACAAAATTCAAACACAAGCTCACCAATTCCACCTGTTGAACGTGCCATTTCTGAACAAGATTCCATCTCTCCAGAGGAACTGTCTCAACCACCAAGTCAACCTAGTTTAAAAGTTAAAACACTTCAGCGGTCTGCAGATAATCTGGAAGGGAAGCAAGGAGATCCTTCTAATTCACCAATGTCACCACCAGGCATGGAAAATGTGCAGCCTATTCACAACCTGCTGCCTTCGGAAGGGAAGCAAGGAGATCCTTCTGATTCACCAATGTCACCCCCAGTCGCGGAAAATGTGCTGCCTGATCACAATCTGCCGCCTTCGGAAGGGAAGCAAGGAGACGATTCTAATTCACCCAGGTCACCACCAGGCATGGAGAATATGCACCCCGATCACAACCTGCTGCGTTCAGGGAATGAAATGGCTTCGACATTGGATAAGTCCGCTCTAGCATCAGATTTTGAGAGGGAAAGACTAAATGGGAAGCCAAACGACAAGCTTCCTCGTCCACGGAGTCCCGTGATTGATGCAGTTGCTGCTCTTGACAAAAGCAAGGTAAGTGTAGTTGTATATTTACCACAGACGATTAGAATGTACTCTTCATGAAGTCTTACTCATTGCATAAGACTTCGCCTTGGAAACTCTGCAGCTGAGGAAAGTTGCTGAACGTGGGCCTCCGAAAGTACCAAAGATAGAAGAAAGAGATTCATTTCTAGAGCAGATAAGAACAAAGGTTAGAGCTTGTAATCTTTCTCTGTTCTTTATAAGTTGTTGTGTGTTTATTTCTGTTGAAAGTAATCTTGTACTTACGGGGTAAAGAAACTTATGGTTCTCTCAGTCTTTCAACTTGAGGCCCGCTGCAACAAGACGAAACCGCTATCACTATCAGGGGCCAAGAACAAACTTAAAGGTCGCCGCCATCTTGGAAAAAGCAAATGCAATTCGCCAGGTCTCTCATTCTGTCCCTCTGTTTAATTAGCTACTTTGAATACAGTTCTCTTGTCCGTCTCTTATTGTCTATTCACATGATGGTCATTGTACAGGCTCTGGCCGGGAGTGATGAAGATGACGAAAAGGATGGTTGGAGTGATTCTTAAATCTTCAAGGGGTGCTGATTTATATCTTACTACCGTGGTTTCCACCTTGAGTCGGACGTGCACAATTTCTCCCCTCTTGTGAATGAGAAATCTCTATGAAGTATAAGATTACAAGTTCATGTATGATACTGCGCACTCCATATGGCTCCCCTTTTATCTGTTCACACCCAGATGCTTGCAAGGCATAGGCATGCAGCTTAGCAAGCATCCCTGATTCTTTTCAGTGGTGATGCCTTTCTGCCCCAGAAGATTCAGGGTCCAGGCTCAGAGTGGAAGTGCTTTACCTTTATTCCCGTTTTTTCTTTGATATATAAATATTGTATATTTGTGGCATGGGTGGCCTTTTTTAACCATATAGTTTTATTTATAGCGAACGATGTGCATGAAATTTTGTAATCCTGTGATGCATCCTTTTTTAAATTATTTGTACAATTGCAGCTCATTAATCATGTTTGTATATAGTGTAATTACATATTTAAGTTGAAAAAAAAAAATCATTCGAGATGTACATGTTGTGTGTGTTTGTGCATAAAGAAACTTGCCCCGGCAGATAGAGAGGTTGGGGATTTATCAGTGTGAATGGCAATCCCTCCAGCCCAAACATTGATGCAAAGTCTAATACTCTAATTTACTCTTCTGATTCTATTTATAAGTAATTTTTAGTATATTTTATACAGACTAAGGAAAACTTTAAACTTCATTAACTCCCATTTAAAATTCAACAATTTTCTAACTTTATTCCTATTTAATATATATTATATCTCATTTAAATAAAATCAGCACAATAACAAATGAAGAATAAAATTTTATATCTATATAAAAAATTTCTCTCAGTATTTTATAAATAAGACTAAAATTTATCTTCTGTCTCTACCTTATAAATAGAACCAGAAGAGTAAGGTTTAAGGCACTCCAATCAAAATATCAGGTGACACAGGCCTAGTCTAGCTGGATTTTGGCAACATTCACACCCAATTCAAGTCGTGCCTCGTTAATTGTTGGTGCTTGGAATCTTTTTCATTACAAATAAAAAGCCAGGAAAGACACCATAATGGATCTTGTTAATAAAATACTCCTCCGGTCCTTAATATAGGACCCAATTCTTAAGTTAGTTTTGGTCTTAAATATAAGACTCATTTTTCATATTTATCAATTTTCTCTTAATTACCCTTATGAATACTCCTTCAAATATAATCAAGTAGAAGAGGGAGAGGAGGTATTATAAAAGATGTTTATGGTGTTTTAGGAAAAATGTGTCACTTTTCTTATAATTAACTAACTTACCTAACTTCCTTAATCTAATCAAATTATTTAAATGGGTTTTATATTAAGGACCAGAGGAGTATAATACATCACAAGTTTTATGACTTAGTGTTTGGGAAATATTTTCATGTCATCTAAAAATTACATACATTCATAGTCTTGGTTACACTAGAGTTTGTAATTTGCAAACTATTTAAGTATTCATAAATTTTATATCATTATATGTGCACCAAATCTAAAAGTAAAATTGGGTGGTTTTGCTGTGAATTCGATTTTTAAAAACAAATTAAATATTCTTTTTGAATTATTTTTGTACCGTCCTGTCAAACGACGTCGTAAGGACTGTTTAAGTGACCGCTGCACGGGGAAACAACGTCACTGGACAAACAACAGCTTCCTTGCCTTTGCTTGCTCGGTCTCTCTCTACCGAAAGCTGCTTCGCGCTCTTGCAGTTCTACAACCTTCTTAATTTTCAGTTGGCCCAAAGACAGAAAAAACCCTTTCTTAGTTTAATTCTCATCCCACTGGACGCCGCCTTTGCCTCATTCTGAAGATGAAATTGTCTCCACAAAATTCAAACATGATCCTCAGGTAGCATCGGCAAAAGAAAGCTCAAGGGAAAGGTCAGGAAATCCAAATTCAATTTTCGCCTGTCTCTATTTCTTTCTCTTTTTAATTTGGGAGTTACCCATAATTTCCTCGAACTACTTCTGGGAAATTCATCTTTTTCATCTTTTAGCTCTGCCACTCCGAAACCCCACTTTTCAGTGGTTCGATATACCGAACCCGAAAACCCCACATCCGGAAATATAAGTTGAAGGATGGAGAGCAGTACGGAGAAAGAGGCAAATAGTCGAGTTCCACTTTCGGATGTGGTAGCGGATTGTGTTAAGCGGTGGTTTAGGGACACGCTTAAGGAGGCCAAAGCGGGTGACATCAACATGCAAGTGTTGGTTGGTCAGATGTATTGCAGCGGTTATGGAGTTCCTAGAGATGCCCAGAAGGTGGCTTGTTTCTTCTTGCTCTGTTTTAGTATTCTGAATTAACTTTCCGTAAATTCCTATTCAGGTGGATTCAGTGTTTTCGGTTTGATTCTGGTGTTTTAAGGTTTCCAGCGATGCCTGTCTAGAAGTTGGTTTGTTTCTCGGTGTTCTGTTTTAGTTCTGAATGAACGGCACTGCTCCTTAACATAATGAGTCCTGATCTTATCTTTGATACAACTGTACCCTCAAATTGCTTTAGACAATAGCATATCTGGTTCCGTTGCAGTTTTGGTAGCATATCATGCTACATGTCTGTGTGTATATCAGTATTTCAATGGAGTGTACTTTCCTTGCATGCATATTCTGGAGAATTAGGTCACGTTGGTTTGACTTTGTTGTTCTGTGCTTCTTTCAGAAGTTGGTGTTACTTTGGTTTGCTGAGAAAACTAGAATAAGAGTAATGATTGAGATGTTTGCAATTTTGTCATGGATAGAGAAATATAACATGTTTATTTTCCGTTCTAAATAGAAAAGCCTATCTGTTCATTTTTGTCCTTCATGCAGTACGTGGGATCCTTATTAGTGGGGTGGATGTTTTTGGCAATAAAGAACAGATATTATTCTTTCTCCCGTTCTAATAGAGGGATGTACACATGTCTATTGTAATAAAGGGGTAAAGTTAGTTAGGTTAGTTGGGATAGTAAGGAGTTAGGTAGTTAATAGTTACAATCTATGTACAAAGTGTACATAAATAAAGGATAGAGATTGATTTTTGCCCCAATTATAAAATTTGTCTTTACATCTTTCGCAATTTTCCTGTTTATAACTCCACCCAAAGCGCATGAAATTAAAATATCACATTCATAAACATACAGTTCTGTAGGGCATAAATCCTTTCCGTCAGGAAATCCTTCAAATTGTGGGTTTTTTCCCTTTATGTTTCAGCAGTTCTAGAATATCAATTTCATTTAAATTCTTAATAGCACTAGTAATATCATGAATGCAAGGATCTTAACTCTTTTATAAAAGAACCTTGCTATCCACAAGCCCACATTACCAAAAACTTGGATAATAAATGTCAAATTCTATGGGGACTTCCCATCTTCTGCAAGCAGTGCTTCAGTTGCGATATCAACTGGGTGCGGAGTTGTTATGACAATTGAAACATTGCTTGCAGAACATGGGAGGTCACTAAAAGGTTTGGCATTTCTTATCCAGAGTTTTGGTATTGTGTAGCAATGCTCCTTTATGAAAGAGGTGGTAAGATCCTTGCAGTAATGATATCACCAGTACTGCTAAGAACCCAAATGAAATCAATACCCTAGAATTGCTAAAGCATAAGAAAAACCACAGTTCAAAGGACTTACCCCTGGCAGAGATGATTTGGACTGTTAGAAATGCTTATTCATGGATGTAATGTTCTAATTCCATGCACTTTGGGTGGAGCTATAAATAGAAAAATTGCTAAAGGTATGAAAGAAGGAAAGTTGGTAATTGATGCAGCAATTAATCCCTACGCCTTATTTATTTACATTTAAGGTACATAGATCGTAACTATTAATGGCGTAACTCCTCACTATCTCCACTAACGTAAAACTCTACCCTCTTATTGCAGTTGCATATTAATTTAGTTTTGAATAACAATATATACAATCCAACCACATGTGAAAGTAATCAATAAAAAATTCTGTTTCTCTGCTATGTTGATGCCAGATATTTTTTTTGGTTAGATTGAAACTCATTGATTTGAGGACCAATTTGATTGTATTAATCTATTCAAAAGTAATTATGCTAATGCATCAGAGTAGTTTTTAGCATAATGGGATAGATTTTACAGATCATTTAAAGATGTAGATGCATATAAAGAGTAATGGGGTAATTTTGGATTATAAAAGAATAACAGATGGAAGTTGTTAATCGGCTTGTTTGTGGGTGCTATTTATTTTCAAAGGCTGATCTTATTGGTTGGGCATGAAGGGACGAATTTGGCTTACCAAGGCATCAAGGACTAGGACTTCAGTTTGGAAAGTTGGCGACAAGCGCCCAGGTGAACCTCCCTTCCTTGTTATCTCTGTCAGCCACATTGGCAATATCTGTTTGCTAAAATTAGTTTTGCTATTGCGTGATGCATCTGTGTTAGGTTATAATGCGAGTGACTCTGATTCCGATGAATTAAAGGAAGGTTCTTAAGAAGACTTAATTTGCCTCCGTGCTCTAAAAAGGTGAGTTTATCCCACTCTCTCGTGGCTGTCCTACCACTTGCTTTATTTGTGCCATGTTGTGTATGAAAACTTATAAAGATTGATATATTTCTTCCTTCCTTATTTAATTATGTTGGTTTGGTAGAGTGCCTTATTGAACTCAACTGTAATGCTATCATCATCAAGCCGGGGCTTCAAAGGACATATTCCTTCCTACTTAGTTGTATGTGTTTTGAGTCTGGTTTTATGAGAATTCAATTTTAATTCAGATTGGGGAACCTAATTGTCAAGTTTTAAATCTGATAAAGAATCTCCAGTTTTTATTTGTCCTATATGTGTTACACTGTTATCCTGCACAAAAATTAAATTTGTAGTTCTTTATGGTCCTCTTCGGTTGGACTTCAATTATTTTAACAGCAATTTGAGTTGTCAAACTTAAATGTAATATGCTTAACTCATTGTATAATCCGCACTCCTTAAACCCTTTTTTAAAAAAGAAATAATAAAATGTTAGAAAGGCTAGATATTCTTTAGGTTTTAATATTGCTGGGAAGGATACATGTTTCTACTTTTAGACTTGTTTGCTTAGTGGAATATGTATATAATAATAGATCTAGTTTCTTTCACTGAAACTATAATGATATACGATTATGATATCAATAGGCCTTTCACTTTGTCACCCGATGTAAGGGAAAAGAAATACTTATCAAGATGTTGTGAATGTGTCCTATATTATTCTTAAATTGACATATCAGATTGATGGGGTTTATCTTCTTTGTCTTAAGATCCAGAAATTTATTAGCTGTAACTAGGAATATCAGTTCCCGCTGAGTTAATTCCCTAAGATTTCATGCTTGGAAAGATGAGATGTAATTAAGATTGTCAAGATTCTCAGATCTTTTTTCAATCCCTTTGAATGCTATTTTCTGTTTTCAGCATTCTTTATATTGATGATGGTTATAAGAGGTACAAGTGCTAGTAACATCTATTTGATTGATGACATCAAAGACCAGGGGCATTAGCGATAGTTGATTTAATCAATTTATTTGCCTTTTGTCCATTTCTGGATTCATTCTCCATTAAACCTTGTTCACATTGTGACTTGGCATTGTAAGCTTGGAAGTTGATTTGCTTTTATTTGAGTTGAAATTTCTTGGTCATTGAGGAGGTTGTAAGGTTTTGGGTTGGATCATTAGGGAAGGGAAGAATGCAAGACCATGAGCATAGAGAAAGATTATTTTCTTAGGTTCTGTGGATAATTTTTGTGCTGATATGTGATGCTTCAATTCATAACAGACCTACCATCTTCGTTAAGTTGTGACATTATTTGTTTTCAGGAGATCGAACTGGCTTCCTGAAATATAACTTGTTTCTCAGAAATAGGCCAGATGTAGTGTTTGATATTTTATAACTCAGCATTATATTACCTCCAATTTTTAATATAAAAGCTAGTTGACTAATCTGAGTTTATTTAGAAAATTAATTATGTTAGTTATTTGTAATAAATATGTGTTGTCTTTCTTAAAATTTCTTTGTCAATCAAATATATTGGCTAAAACTGTCATTATTGCAAGGACTATCTTGGAGGGGAAGAAAGATAAATATGAGAGATAAAGTAAATTTAAGTCTTATATATAGGATCAAAATACAAGTCGAATGAGTTCTTATATGAAGGACCAGAGGTAATATTAACATTTGACTAAATCGTTAAAGGAAGTTTCCTCACATATTTGAGTTTAGACGGCAAATGTGCATGTGCTAGAAATCCTCTCTCAATTCTTCTTTCAGGTTTTTAATTTTTTTCGCGTACTGCCCTTTCCAAAAGATTAATTTTTTTTTTTTTTTCTGTCTTGCTTTTCAGGTGTGCTTGGTGTGACTCTGCCGCCATGGAAGATGTTCCTGTAACTTGGTGTTTGACTTCTAATTGTTTTTTTTCTGAGTTGTGCATGATTTCCTCCTAAATGTTCTTTTATGGCGAAAGAAGAAAGAACGGATCTTACGTGAAGATGTTTGCTAATTGATTTTTTCAACAAACGTATGATTGATGGATATTCCTAACAACTTAAATTCTCTTTATTAACATTTCAGGCAGATTCATCGGTTTTGATTGAACAATCTAACATTATGAAAACTTCTCAGGTAGATGTAATCTATAAAAAAGTTCACGGTAGCATATGATGTTCCACTGTGAAGTGAATTTAGGAGGTATTGCAAGTTCAATTGGGACCCAATGGAAGATCCACCAAAGTGTCAGTTTCTTGGCAGTCCTTTTGTTTTTTTTTAGTTGTGTGAACAATCTCATATTTGCACATCAACACCAAAAAATAACTTATCCAACTCACATGAAATGTTTGAAAAAAATTCGGCGGCCATAGCAAATGTTTCCACCAAATGTTTATCATTCAGCGTGAAACTTCGTCTTATACTTCATTACGAACTAGTTCATTTTAAATGATATTGAAAAGCGAGAGTTGTGTTTGGTAAGACATAGAAGACCATTTTTGGAGAAATGATGAGGGGGTTTATCAGACAAGTGTGCGTTTTAATTTTGTTTGGCTGTATCTTTTTGTGAGATAATTAAACATTATCTTCACTCAATAATAAAAATTATTATGAAAAGTAACTCGGAAGAATTTCATTAAAAAAAAAAGCTTAAAATTACTTAAATTTTGAATAAAAATTGTAAAAAGAAAATATTGCGTTGTTATTTGCAAAATTCAATAACGTTATTAAGAATTTAAAATATTGTTAACAAATTTAATTTAGGGTTTCATAATCTTATGGCCCGTTTGGTTCATGGGATCAATGGGTATGTAATGGAATGTAATAATTGAGAATGTAATGTAATGTAATGATAATTACAGTAAAGTTGTTTGATACAATATTAAAAATGATAAAATTAAATTTATTATTTATATTTAATTAAATACAAATAAAATCAAAATTACAAAAAAGCCCTTACACAAATAAAATTTTTCTTTGATTTACTGCTTCCTTCGTCTTGCTCGTCTACTGGCACAATACTAACTCATCATTGTTGGCCTTCATTCATCTTCATCCTTTCTCTTCCAGAACGATCATTCCTCACCCCACATGTTCTTTTCATTCCAGGTGCGTCACATGAGTAGAATCACCACTCCCACAAGTTAGAAACAAAAACCATCCCCCTTCCAAAAAAATCCTCACCCCTGACTTCTTTCACGTCCAAGTGCATCGTCCCTCCCTCTCCTATTAGCTTCATTGTTAGATGATTAAAGTCTCACCAACCTTCCTCACTGCCAATATTTCTTGCACAAGATTAGATCTACGTTCACCATTGGACGTCTAGATTCTCATCACGACTACACCTAATGCTCTGTTATGCTTTTGCCTTTTGTTCTAACCCTACCTCCATCCCTCTCTTCTACTTCCACCATAGCCCATGATTCTTGGCAATGAGGATTTCCTCCTCTGCCTCATCTTCATCATCTCAGGTGAAAATTATTCCAGTCGCATTTTGATTGCTTGTATCTTTGTTTTCATATTTTTGTTTTAACTTTTTGTTAGCATTGGTTCATTTTTCATTTTCATCCTCATGATGACGAAGTGAATAGGGAAGATGAAGTTGTTCGCTTGATGAAGGGGTGTCCTCAACATAGGGAAGGCCACTGGTAGAGGAGGGTTGGTAGTGGTCAACAAAGATGATGAAGAAGGCAAGGGCAAATATTGTCTTTTTTGGATTACAACATGTTGTAATCCCCATTCTTTACTATTATGAATGTAATCTCTATTACTTTATATGAAGTAATAATGATGCATCTTCTAATCCTCTTTACTACCTAAATGTGCCAACCAAGTGCTTGAAAGAGGCTATTGCATCAGGACTATAGGGAATGCTAATGCAATGCATCGAACCAAACAGGCACTTAAACTTTTGCCTTCCTTTGCATTTGAAGGTTTGGGATCAGTTGCATTTGAAGATGTGGGATCAAATTATGAAGATGACCCGCATAGAATGTCCAAAAAGAGAATTACAGTTAGGTCCCAAAAAAAAATTACAAAACAAATTTTAAAAATTATCATTTTTTATTTTAAAACTTTTCATTACATATTGTTTAGGTTGTTATTGAAATTTTTTAAAAATTATTTTTTTAGAGACCTTATTGTAATTTTCCCTTATCTAAAAACATCATGTCACCAAGTCACTATGTAATTAACTACTACTATTTCTAGTCCTTAATATAAGAATTTTTTGGGAATTAGATTGGCTTTAAATATATAAACTTAATCTACTTTATTTATCAAATTTATAATTTATTCTCTAAAATATTTTTGTCGATTATATTTATTAAATAGATTTTCAACTAAGGGTAGTCATGATTAAAAAATACTTTAAATTATTAAAAAGATATTTTTAAAAAATTAATTCATATTTATTACAAATGACTCATAATTAAATTATTTAAGTAGTTTTTATATTAAATATAGAAAATAATAATAAATAATGATTGGCCTAAGGCTGCTAAGGAACACTAGCGACTAGAGGCTACCCAAGAACATTAATTTAGTAATGATTGTGTAGTGTTTCTTATATTTTTTTATTTTAAAATGATAGAGCAACAAATAGATCCAATTAGAAAGTTGACGTGAATGAAATAAAACAAGCGAGAAGTTTCTCGGCGCAATTAGAGGACTCTCCTTGGTCATAAATCATAATCAAATCCAACCCATCTAAATTATATTATATATTATAGAGGCCAGTAGAACTCAAAAGAACCTTGGTGTTGACGTCAACAACAAAGAAACAAATATTTTGTTAAAGAAAGTTTTTGTTTTTTTGCCTTTTGGAGTGCTCTGTTTGCCGCATCATACATTAATAACTGCTAAACCATAATTTGTGAAGTACAGGAATTAACTTTGCAAACGGTAGAAACAGTAGGGACAGGTTTGAATTTTTCAGAATATAAGGACATTTTTTTTTACAAGAGAATTGTAAATTATTCGAACTAAATTAATTTATTTTCTATGTTTGTGTGTATATATAGATAAGGAGGAGGGCTTCCCCAATCTCACCAACGCTCACACTCCATCTTCTTCTAGAGTCATTTTTTGGGAATGAAATGGAGGGATACACACAGGAAGAGAGAGAAACAGAAGCAGCAATTTATCCATCCGAATCAAAATGCTTCATGCTAAAGGAGGGTCAGTGGTTCTCTAGTCTTCTTTATGTCCCAATGATGATGATCAAATTTGATATGAGAATTACATGTAAAGTAGGAGTTGAATCCTTACCGTGATGATGTTCACTTGTTTTTGAGCTTTCCCGTCTGCGTTCGCTTTCAGAGACAATTAAACAATTAAACACTCCTATCTGACGTTTACGTGGTTGAGTTTGACTCAAATTCGGATCCATTTGATAAAATAACAGTACACAGACTCGCTCCTTTCTTTATTCTTTCTCCTCGCTAATAGACAATTTGACACTTGGATTTCGACTGCCAGTTAGCCATGTGTTATTATCAGCATCGTCATGATCGTTATTATTATTATTATTATTATTTTCTGTGTCATCAAAATTTTTTTTCCCCAAACTGCATGATTCTTCCCTGCATCATGCTAGAAATTGAAACCGTATATTTCTCTGAACACAGTGAAGATTAAGAAAAGCTTGGAATCGGAAGAAACTGAAATGGAAGAGAACGTAGAGCCACTGATTTCGCAAGAGCAGGGACACCCATCTTCTATTATCACTAATTTATACGTTGGCCACTTTTTAGCCCGATGGGGTGCCAGGTTCTTCTCAAGTCTCTACCTTTTTGTTGCTTTCTTCTAGGTTGTGCATTGATTTAATTACCCTTTTTGATGTGTCCTGGATCTTGGCTTTCATATGCATAGAAGTTTCATTTTTTTTTTCTAAGAAAAAATCTTTTCTCAAGATTTGTCTCTTCTTCTTTTATCCAAAAAGAAAGATTGAAACCTTGGTCAAAAGTTGTTTTTTGTCTTCTTTTCAAATTATTTTCATGGGGGAACGCGTCCTGCCCACTTCTGTTTTCTGGTATTAGACTGTCTTCAACTTTAGCACGAATTTGAATATCTTTTACTCTTAGGATTTTATGCGGCTAGGCCTTTTCTTTTAAAGTATTTTCATTGCACCATTCCCAAGAGGAACAAATTCAAATAAATGCTGGAGAAATCAGGAGTTTGTGAGTGGAACAAGATAGCTCAAGTCAAAATAAAGAGTCTTGGACGTACAGGAACTATAGCATATCAGTGAAGTAGTTACCGTTTTTCTTCTTTTAACTTCCTCTGTTTTTTACTTTTGGTATTGATAGAGTATTTCTATGCGCAGAATGTGGGAGTTTTCTGTTGGTTTATACATGATCAGTATATGGCCAGACTCGTTACTTTTCGCAGCACTATATGGTGCCATTGAATCTGCTTCCACTGCATTTTTTGGCCCCCTTGTAGGGAGATTGGTGGATAAATTGACATATGTGCAGGTGAGCTTAGCAATCTTGGAAGTGAATAACGTTCTGATTTAAATCATACATAAAGGTGTGTGACACAATTCATATTAGTTTTTATTTTGAAAGTTATCAATGAAAAGACTGATATGGCAACTTATTTATAAATCTCCATATATTCCATATAGGAGAATAAAGGTTACTCTGACAGAAAATCAGGGAACTTTTCATTGAAGATAATAGGATTAAGGTGCATCCAGCACCCTAAAGTATTTTGTGGTGCATCCAGTATCCCAGATTATTTTTTAAGTGCATCCAGTACCCAGAAATATTTTTCATTTCCTTGGTGCTGGATGCACCAAAAATTAATTTTGAGTGTTGGGTACACCACAAAATACCTTTCCAGCACCAAAGAAAATGCTTTGGGGTGCAAGATGCACCTTAACCCAGGATAATATGACAAATATGGGCTTGTTTTGCAGCCAATGACGGCCGAATTTGATGGTAAAGAATTTAACGCTTCTTAAATAGGCTTTCAAATGTGAGTCTTATAATTATAAATGAAAATATATATATATATTAGGAGAGCTTCCCCCAGTTGAAAATTATCCGAACTTAAATCTAGATTAGTCAATAGTATCATATGCTGAATCGTTTGTCCTTGTTTAAGTATATTTTTTATGCTTTTGCTTTTGAGCTCTCTAATAAGAACATAACCACTGGACACCACAGTCAAAAAATTTCCTTTGTCATTTTATTTTTAGCATCATAGATTTCAATGATTAGAATATTTTTGGATGCATTGACAAGAAATGCCAAAATTGTCCCAATCCCACCTGTAAAAAGTGAGATATAAACGAAATTTTGTGATGAAGTATATGTTTTACTTGACATTCTTCAGTCATTCCAGCTTTCCAGAAGTTTCCTTTAATCTTTTTTATTTGGATCATATGCGAATGAAATGAATGACGGGCTGGTAAGGTAACTCGCATTTTGCTGTTTCATTGGCAGGTTTTGCAGCTGTGGTTGGTGATGCAAAATATCTCTTTCATTATTGCTGGGATCAGTGTTGTTGCATTGCTTGTCTACCCCTCTTTAAGGTTCACTAATTTCCCAGTTTTCATTTTGCTGGCGGTGATAACTGACATCTGTGGTGCCATTGGTGTGCTTTCAACTCTTGCTGGCACCATCTTGATCGAGAGAGAATGGTAATACTATTGAAGCTTTTTCCTGAGGAAAGATTTGCTTAGAATGAAATCAACTAATTGTCTTTTTTCCCCCTAAATGTCAAATACGTGAAAGCATGTTACAGGTTGGTAGTTATATCAGAAGGCCAGCCGCCGGAATTGCTGACGCAGATGAATTCAGTTACAAGGCGCATTGATCTAACTTGCAAACTACTTGCCCCTGTGGTAACCGGGTTCATAATAAGCTTTGTATCACTAAAAGCATCTGCCATAACATTAGCACTCTGGAATACCATATCTGTTTGGGTGGAATATTGGCTTTTTACATCTGTGTATTGTGGGATTCCATCTTTAGGCCAAAGCAGTGCCAGGAGGATGGCAAGATTTTCACCGAGTGATCAGGAAAAGAGTGAACCTTATTCTTTTGAGGGCGACAGCTTGCTCTCTCATTCCGGTGAGACCTCAAATTTGAAAGAAAGCAAGAGGAAGAAAATTGTTGACTGGATTTTGGAGATCCCATATGTTTCTGTGTGGAAAGTGTACTTGCAGCAAGAAGTTGTCCTCCCTGGAATAGCTCTGGCTTTGCTATTTTTCACTGTGCTCAGGTTACAGCTTACAAACTGCATAATATTCGCGTGTGGCTGAGTTTTGTATTTTGAACCCTTCAGAAGTTTGTACAGTACAATTTTATGTGATGTGTCACGGGTAGTAGTGATAATTACACAACACTACTCAGAACTGTCCAAGTGGCTGTATCTGAGATTAAGCTCAGATTCAATGGCATGTGCAGTTGTGCACAAGGCACATCTAGTTTTCCACTTCACGAAGTATATCGTCTTGGCTTTGTCAGTCAATTTTACTATACAGTTATGAGAGAATCATTCAGAAGGTTTCGTTTCAATGCACCTTAAGGTGCTTGTATTTCTTTCCTATGAGTTGGGTCCGAAACCGCACTGATGAAGCTCCAACTGATTTTTTCAGTTTTGGGACTTTGATGACTGCTACATTGGAATGGGAAGGCATACCAGCATATGCTATTGGAATAGCACGAGGAGTCAGTGCTGTGATAGGAATAGCTGCAACAGTTTTGTATCCAGTTTTACAATCTCATATATCCACAATTAGAACTGGACTTTGGTCTATCTGGTCTCAGGTACAAACTCACAAATTGCTTTAAACATTTTTGTTTTTTTTTACTTGTCTTAGATCCTAGTATGGTGCTGATGTTCAATTCCTTTATCTACAAGACAAGAAGGAGAAACCTTTTTGAAGAGTCTGTCATCTATAAATCCTTAAAAAAAAAAAAATACACATACTGTTTTTATTAGTTAATGTGCTACTTCCTCTGTCCCCTTTTTATTAGAAATAATCTCTCACAGTGGTGTTCCTAGATATAAGAAACAAATCTTCCATCTAGAATTTAAACCCCTCTTTTCACTTTTATCGTCATTAAATATATGCTACTTATAATTTCCTTATGATAAATTCTTACTCATTGTCTCTCATGTACTCTCTTTACGAATAAGAATATAATTGGGAAAAAATATATATATCTTACACGTTTATTGTTTTTAACTAAATTCAACTAACATTTTGAATTACTTAATTTCGGTAGCAAATATCTATAAAAGCTGCATCTTACCATAAGTTTCTGGCTTATATGTCTTGTTTAAACGCAGTGGACTTGCCTGCTATCATGTGTTGCTTCAATTTGGATTCAAAATGGCGTCCTAGCAGCATATGTGCTAATGGGAGGAGTGGCTGTATCTAGGCTCGGCTTGTGGATGTTTGACTTATCCGTACTTCAGCAAATGCAGGCAGGAAAATAAAACCCCTATTTGTCACAACTTAGTTCCGTTGTTTCTTTGGACAAATAAAATTTCTTCCCTTTGTCTGATTCTTATATTTTCTCAACTAGGACCTTGTTCCTGAGTCCGATAGGTTGGTTGTTGGAGGCGTTCAGAGCTCACTTCAGTCTTCAATGGATTTATTGGCATATATTATGGGAATTGTAATATCCAATCCACAGGTAAAGTTCTTAGTACTAAAATGATGCCACTGGAATACACTCAAATGCATGGCCAGCCCATTTTATGTACTACCTCCAATCCTAATTATAAGAGTTAGTTGACTAATTTGAAGAGATTAAAGAAATAAGTTAAATTAGTTATTTGTAATAAATAGGTGTTGTCTTTCCTAAAATATCCTTATTAATCAAGTACATTAGCTAGAACTACTATTATTAAAAGGACTATCTTAGAAAAAAATGCATAAATATAAGAGACAAAGTAAATTGGAGTCTTATAATTAAGACTAAAATAACAGTCAAACGAGGTTTTATGTTCAAAATCAGAGGTAGTATTATATAAATGAAACTCACAGCTTAGAGCTTTTCTTGAGGTATCTGATATTTCACAGATGTGCTTATAATGTTATTTTATCTGTACATTTGGTTCAGGACTTCTGGAAGTTGATCGTATTATCGTTTCTGGCAGTTACAGTAGCTGCTTTCCTCTACTGCATCCACGTGTACCGTGTGCGTAAACACTTATTTCACTTTGAAAAATTTCTGGGTTTTAAATATTCTGTAAACGCAGCTTAAGTTTTGGGAAGAGGCATGTATGATATCTACTGGTCGAAGGTAACAATGCCCTGACGCCACTTTTGTGCTGTAAATAACATCTCTGTTCACTGAAGCATAGTTGAAGTTCTGAGATGGAAAAGGCATTGTCTTGTGTTTGATGCAGAGTACTAATTTTTAATATCACACTCGGCTGGTTAACTCGTCAAGTCAATCGAATTTGTGGTAACTCTCACTTCAGTTAACTCATAATTAGGCTTGTGTTACTAAGAACTCGATCAAACCAGAAAATGACTCAATCAAACTTACCGAGTTAGCGAGTCATAGTCGAGTTCGATGAGTTCTCCCATTGGCGGATAATGAATCCTACATATCTTACGCAGTTGTGAACTTGTGCTGTGGTGAAAGACCGATCTTTTGACAAATTTTCATAAACTAGGAATTAAGAGAAACAGTAATATTTAAATAAAATTAAGTCGTTAATTTGTCTAAGAAATCGTATGGGTCTCACCTCGAATCTAAATATCAAAATAAAACATGATAAATAATGGAGAAAAGGACAACAAAATCAGTACTCAACACAAGAAAAATCAGAATGCTTTTCTTTTTTCTTATTTTTTGAGCAAAATCAGAATGCTATTCAAGAGCCAAAATTTTAAAGTGATTTTACAGAATCTATACATCCGTTAAACTATTACTGTTCTTACGCACTAAATATAAAAGTTAGTTTGATGTTTGATTTAATTCTAAATATAAAACCTCAATTTATTTTATATTTTATATTTATCTATTTTTTCTAAAATACCACTCTGTTCCTTATTATAAGTCACTTGTATCCCAACTCCGCAAACTAAGAAATACATTAAATTAATCAGTTTTTTTCACATTTATCCTTATTAAAAGTTGAGAGAGAGAAGGAGGGAGGGAAGGATGTACTGTATAGGAAATGAAAAGTTGAAAGAGAGAGATGGAGAGGGAGAGGGACGTGTTTCGAGAAGTCATTATTTCAGACTTTAATTGATTAATTTTTATTAAATTAATAGGGATAAAATTGAAAAAAGATCATTAATTATACTACAAGTGACTTATATTTTGAAACAAACTTTTGGGGTACAAATAACATATAATAAGGAACATAGTGGTAATTATTGTAACAGTTATACGTATTAAATATTACATTAAATGGTAATTTTAATTAATACACATGCTTAGTAAGAGTATTCTAAGAAAGATAACATTCATTTATTACAAATAATTAATTTAACAAACTTTTTAATATACTTAAATTAGTAAATAAGCTTTTATATTGACGACTGAAGGAGGAGGTAATATTGGATTAGTTGTTGCTTGAAATCTATTTGTTTTTTGGTCATAACCTAAGACACATTATATTCTCTTCGAATTTAGCATCTCAAGCTTAACTAAACCTTAGAGGGGATATTTGGTGTTATTTGAGCTATAAAATTTGTTTGAACAAGGGAATGAAATCATAATATAAATGAATACCTTCTTCATGAAGCTTATTCATCTTTCTTAGTTGCAAAATTTCATGAAAAATACTTGAAAAAAATATATAAACGTATATTAAATGTCTTCAAATAAAATTACGCAGATGTTTTCAATAAAACAGGGCTAAAAACATATTTAAATTCAATATATAAATATCAAGAGGAGAGTTTGACAAATAAATAAAATAAAATACAAATAAATACATTGTTAAAAAGTAAAATAAATACTCTATCTCTAATAACTACACCGGCTTTCATTCACAATAATTTTTTTTATTGTCAGAAGCTGACAACAAATTATTCAAATATATATTCTAACCTTAGCCAGAGAATCTACTAATCCAGTTATCAATTACTCCTCCGGTCCTAATTATAAGACCCAATTGACTTATTTGAGGAGATTAATGAAGTAAGTTAAGTTGGTTATTTACAATAAATAAGTGTTGTCATTCCTAAAATATCCTTGCTAATTAAGTATATTGGTTAAAACTATCATTATTAGAAGGATTATCTTGGAAAAAAATGCATAAATATAATAGACAAAATGGATTAGGGTCTTATAATTAGGACCAAATAAAAAGTCAAATGGGGTCTTATAATAAGGACCGGAAGAGTATATAAATTTCATAAGCAATCGTTGGCCAAAAAAAAAAAAAATTATAAGCAATCAAATGGTGGGGGTGGCTTTATTTGGGTGAGTAAGAAAATGGAAGATTAGGTCATAACTAAGGTGCATTAGTACCTAACAAGTATTAATAATTAATTTAAGTTGGTCAAAAATTGTTGGCTTTGGCATCTAGAAAGAGAAAACCACATAAGCGTACATTACGGAAAGGTTTGTGTTAACCAAAGTGATTAATCACCCTTACCTAACAAAATGTCCACGTCACCGTTTCATTAATAAGCTAATTGTGCTTCATAACCTAAGCCAACACCTCCAAAGAAATGGTCAACGTCTAGTAGCTTTACAACGCAATGATATGAAAAGTCATTATATATGGAACGCAAATTCAATACCACTTATAAGTATATGATGATAACATTACACATAAGTCTGTTTTTTTTTTTGTTTAAATTTTTTGAATATCAATTGGGAAAATATATATTCAGCTACTTCTACCTTCCTAATTAATTATAAAACCCAGTTTGTCTAAACATATGAAAGTTCTTTTTTTTATTATTTAATTCCCGTCTATTTTGCCGTCTAATGTTACTCTCTCTGTTTCTGAATATAATACCCATTCAGTCTTTAATATAAGACTTAATTTGAGAGTTAATATTAGTTTTATATATAAGAACTATTTCACATGCTTATTAATTTTTTCTAAATTAAACCTATTGATATTTTCTTAACAATAATTAAGTAGAACAGGAAGAAAAAGAATCTAGGAAGATCTACATATCATAAAAATAAAATAAAAATATATTATATTTAGTCACGGAGGGAGTACATTTCTGTTTTTGCGACTTCAATTAGAGGCCATCGTTTATGAGGGGGTATTTTAGGAAAAATATTTTAGTTACCCTTAGAATTTTGTAACGAGCCTTATAATTAAGGACTCTACAACCCAAAAAAAAAAGTGTATTATAGTCAGAGACGGATAGATTGATTTATGATGTCAATCAGATTGAGCACATATTTAAAAATTTGTTAAAAACAGACTTTAATAACAAATGATAAATATACTGCAACCACGTGGTGAATAATTGAGTTGAAACAAAACAAAAAGATCTCAACACACTGGAGATCTCAACATACATGAGTATTCTTTTTTTTTTTTGGGTCTTAATATCAAAGTTAAGGGAATAATTTCATGAAAGAAGTATTAATTAATGCGTATTATCCTAAATATAAGTCACTTCTAACTAATACAAACATATACACATGTTAATTAAAACAATTAAAAATATTAAATTTATCATAAAATTCAAATTATTTTTAATACTACCTCTGGTCCTTAATATAAGATCTTGTTTGATTTTTATTTTGGTTCAAAATATAAAACTCAATCCACTTTGTCTCTCAAATTTATTCATTATATTCTAAGAAAGTCCTTCTAACAATGGTAGTTTTAGCCAATACACTTGATTAGTAAAGATATTTTAGGAAAGATAGTACCTGTTTATTACAGATAACTAACTTAACTTCTTTCCTTAATCTGCTCAAATTAATTAACTAACTCTTATAATTAGAACCGAAGGTAGTATCATCTTTATAAAATATATTAAACCCCAACATTATATTAATTTCTATTATCTTACTACTTGCACTGAAGACAGCCGTATATTGAAAAAATGTTTAATGCTCATTAAAACTAGTAAACGGCTTATAAAAATGATCAAGAATACCTCTTAGAAAGGAGGAATTCTTAGATACTCCCGGTGCACCACATCATATAAACACTGCCCAATAAAAATGCACCAACTCCATGAACGTCAGTCTACATGTCACCTGATGTGGCAATTTTTTTAATTAAGACTATTTTATCAAAAAAAAACTCTGTCACCCTCATACTCTTTCTCCCATTTTCCGAAAACTTCTGTCAAAATTTTCTCTTTCCACTTTATTATTATGCCCCGTCACTTGCCCATTTTTCATTTGACTCTCCTCTCTCTCCTTTTTCTATCTTCTCTTTCGTCACTCTTCGTTAGGTTTGTTCTATCTCTTCTCTCCTCATTCTTCCATCTCCCATTGTTGTATCTCTCTGTTCTTCCTTCCGCCATTGTTTGTTCTATTTTAACCAGAAATCAGGGTTTACCTATTTTACTTCTTTTTCACATCTTCCTTTCCCACTATTATATAGTAAAAGCTAATTTTTTCCCCACCCACCCTCTAGTGTCTTCGTGTTCTGCATTTCTATTAGTCGTTGCTTATGGTTTTTGCCTTCTGTTATGCTCATGACCTTCAAAGAGCATGTGAGCTAGTTTCCTTCATCTTCCATCTTTCAACACACTAAGCAGCAGCAAAATTGCGCTAGAGAGGCTTTAAAAATTTCTAATAGAAAATCTTAAAATTTCAACAAAAAGAACTAGATATCCACGGAAGTTGAAAAGAAAGAGAGGTATATATGACTGTATGAAATCATCTTGTGTTTGTTCCTACTTTCTGGATCACTCGCTACATTGCTCTTTTCAAAAGCACAGCGTTTTTTCACTGCTCATTTGCGACCCACTCCTCTGGTTTCTATGATCAATTGCTTAGAGAAATTTGTAGATTCGATTTTATCGCTCTTACCAAAATCACTGCCCAAAGCGCCACACCTTGCGTCCAGTGTTTTTCTGATGAAGAGTTTGGGGTTGTCATAAAACGCAACCTAGAAGGTAATGAAAGAGAAGAGGGGAGAGAAGGGCGGGAGAATCGGCTGAATAACGGGGGAGAGACGTGTGAGAATAAAGATGAGAGAGAAAAATTTAAAAGAAGTTCATTGAAAAATGGGAGAGAGAATACGCGTCGCAGAATTTTTTCATAAATTATCCTAAATTAAAAAATAGCCACATCAGGTGACATGTAGACTGACATTGATGGAGTTGGTGAATTTTTATTGGGCAGTGTTTATATGATGTGGTACACCGGGAGTATCTAAGAATTCCTCCTTAGAAAGCATTCTATAATAGGAATCAGATGGAGTATTATGTTATGCATAAAATATAATTTGTGTAATTACATTTTGACCACACAAGTAGGTAGCAAATTTCAGGAAAGCCCCCAAAATATTGGGGGGGGGGGGGGACAATATAATCCGTTAGTGATCAATTGTGGCATATGATGACACATGGTGTACTTCATTTTGATTCTTTGGTTTATTATCTTGTTCTAAAATTATACAAGTGTCTGATTCACGCTTTATATTCCAAGAGTCAGAGATCATTAATGTTTTAAAAAAAAATTAGTTGCCCAAAATAACATTTTGATTTACAAATAATAATTAAAAAAGATCACATAAATACTAAAATCAGCTATTTTGGTGTTTTGTGGTGAGGTGCGGGCGGTGTTCTTATCAAGTATGGAATTTAATGGTATAATATTACTCCTCCGGTCCTTATTATAAGATCCAATTTGATTTTTTATTTGGTCCTAATTATAAGACCCAATCCATTTTCTCTCTTATATTTATGCATTTTTTTTCAAGATAATCCTTCTAATAATGATAGTTTTAGCCAATATACTTAATTAGCAAGGATATTTTAGGAATAACAACACTTATTTATTATAAATAACCAACTTAACTTACTTCCTTAATCTCCTCAAATAAGTCAATTGGGTCTTATAATTAGGACCGGAGGAGTATTAAAAGATCATTAGATGTAAGAAAGAGCAAAGATAGTTATTAACTCCCTATAGCATGACCTAACATCAATAATTGACTTTCTTGTTGCTATTGTAGTTGCAAATTAGGAGACCATATTATAACTTAAATTAATGAAATTATAATACACAAATGAAATTTCAAACAAAATTATTACACCCAAGTTAAAGATAGAGGGGAAAAAAAAAACTAACGAAAAATTGTCGAGAGCTATTTTAGCTCTCCAACATTGCATATTATTATTTCACAAATGAGGGATATGGTTTATAATTATCTTAATATGCAATGTAGTTTTTTTTATATAAATTTTAAATTTTATAATACTCAGTCTGCTATGTTTTATAATATAAAATATTTTGTAAAAAATACTACTTCTTTCGATTTTCATATAAAATCTATTTAACTAATTTAATTAGATAAAAAAAGTTAGAATGTTAGTTAATTATAAAAAATATAACACTAAAATATCCTAATTCTCTTTCTTAACATCATCTTTTCCTCTCTTACTTGATTGTGGTTAAGAGAGTATCAATAGAAATAGTTTAAAAAATTAATAAATATGATAAATAGGATTTACATTTTAGACTAAGATTAACTCAACAATTATGTTTTACATTAAAAGGCAGAGGAGTGCGATATCAATAAATCTTACCTCAAAATACCCATTATAATTTAACGGGAAGAGAAAAAGTACAAGACGTTACTGTTAAATGAAGGGTATTTTTGAAAATTTATACTGCTATTTGGAAAAAAAAATTAGTGCTAAATTTTTAAAAGCATCTTATAAATTTTAAATTCTCTCTCTCTCACGTTGTTCATTCTTTACTCATAAGTTTTTTTTCCTTTATGAAAGAAAAGAAAAAAAAATACTTATAGTTTAATTTAGAATCTAAAGAAATGCATCATAAATAACACAAAGGTGTTAAATCCGTTTAGAAAATACTCCTTCAATTCTTAATATATGATCTAATTATTAAGTTAATTTTAGTTTTAAATATAAGACCTATTTTTTATGTTTATCAATTTTTTCTAAATTATCCCTATGAATATTCTTTCAATCATAATCAAGTAGATGAGAAAGAAAGGATATTAAGAAAGATACTTATAGTATTTTAAGAAAAATATATCATATTTTTTATAATTAACTAACTTACCTAACTTATTAATCTAATTAAATTAATTAAATAAATCTTATATTAAGAATAGAGGAGTAACATCTTAATACTATTTTACTCAAATAAAACAGCTTGGATCAATTTATGTAGAATAAAATGTGTGGAAATGAGATGGCGTTGACCATTGAGCCAGAGCCGCGCAAGAATTGGCTTCCTCACCTCGATGAGGCTGTACGAAAACCGTACTATTTTTATAGGATGATCTGGTCACTGCCTGCAAATTTAATGACCGTTCATACTTGTTGCCTGCAAATATGTTATATTTTTAAGAAATAATATAATATAATAAAAAATTGTTTCAAATAAACGGAAGTTTATCCGCAATTTTTTTCGCCATCAACAAAATAGTTAAGTTGTCTTAGCGATTCTTGTTGGCAGTAGAATCAATGTCATGTTACCAAAAAGTAATCTTCTAATCCTATTTACATGCCCAAAATTATTTTTTATTAATATAAGTAATCTCACCAAATTATTATATGAATCTAAGTTTATTTCTAATTTTTTCTTCAGTATAAACTTAGAGTTTTTTCAAGTTATTTAAAACCCTTTGACAAGGTGTTTTTTATGAGATTCAAACTTATTATTGACTTGATGGAATTTCTACCATTAGTTATCTTCTTCATGATTTGAGACTGTTTACTATTTCAATTAATAACTTTTTGGTTACTTGATTTCTAACTTATTATTTAGTATACTATTATTTTTTAAAAAATATATAGTTAATAGAAATAAAAAGATTAATATAATTTTTAGTCTTTTAAATTTGTTTTATTTTTATTTTGGCCGTTTAAATTCAAATTATAGGTTTTAGTTTTTGAAATTTCTTTTTATTTAAAATACTTGTTTCTATAATTCAATAAAAATTGAGATCATTTTGTCCCTTGAAAGACTAAAACTTATAGTTTCAAAACTTGAGAAGCCAAAAATCAAAATGAGAGTAAACTTGAGGAACCAGAAACTATATTAACTTGAAATAAAATTAGTAAATTTTACGATAAAGTTAATATGATTTAATATTTTCTTTATTTTGAAAAAACAGGTTGTAAGTATTTTATAAACAGAATTAAAAAAATATTTATTAAAGTCTTACCTATTAAATCATCATTTATTGACATTTTTTGCCAAGCTAGAGTAGGTCTCTTTCATATAAGTGGTCTTTAGATTTTATAACAATAGGAGTAGAAAAGTGGAAGATTTTATTAGTAAGGGCATTATGGGGTATGGGTCTTTGTCAAAATTGGCCGTCGTACAGGCCGCACTGTAATTTGTCCTTCCTCGCATAATCCTCCCCCACATATCGTCTCCCTTTTCTAACATAATAACGTAACTGTCACTCCTTTTCTTTATTCCCCAAAATGCCCCTATCCTTTTCCGTCCTTACCTGTCCTTCTTCTCCGTACGGAAGTCAATCTACTCTTAATGACTTAAATGCCCTCCCTTCCTCATTTTCTCATTTTCCCAGATTATTACATGGGCTCCCCAAGTTTATCCCCCTACATTGTGAATTTCAAGCTCAACACAATCTTAAAAACTAAATTTGATGTTACAATAATTATATGTTTAATCTGAGTAAAAAATGGGGAATTTTGGCACTGCTCTTGTAGAATTAGAACCACAGAGAAACTCCTGTGAAATTTTGGCAACGACACGAGGATACTAATGTCTTTTCAGATCAAGGGGAACACAGAGATCAACGTCTGAATTCTCCGCAAGACGGCGACGAGGGCATTTCAGTCTTCCAATTCCCTGATTGTCTCCGTCTTCCTTGCTAAAAACAAAAGTCTTCTTAAATAATCTCGGCCTCGCCCTTTTAACGACCAGATTCATCACTCATAAGGAACAATATCTCTTTCAATAATCCTTTGTTCTGTAATCTCACAGATCTTCGCTGAAGAGGAAGCAGGGCTGCATACACTCGCAGATATCTTCCTTGTTCTCCTCCTTTATAGCCATGAAGAAGCAAAAATCCCCCGCGACGCAGAACCCGTTTGATGTTCTCTCTGAGGAGCTCGTCTTCAGCATCCTCGACCACCTTGATTCTAACCCGCTTGACAAAAAATCATTTTCCCTGGTTTGTAAGTCTTTCTATTCCATCGAAGCTAAACACCGTCGAACCCTGAAACCCCTTCGCTCAGAACACCTCCCATCAGTTTTAAATCGATACCCTTTTGTAACCCATCTCAATCTTTCCCTTTGCCGTCGAGTCACCGATGGTTCCTTGGCGTTTGTGGCAGACGCTTACAAAGCCACGCTCCAACGGATTGATCTATCCCAGTCCAAGTTCTTCTCCAGTAATGGGTTGCTTAATTTAGCTATGAACTGTAAGAATCTGGTGGAGTTGGATTTATCGAATGCGACGGAGCTGAGAGACGCGGCGGCGTCTGCGGTGGCTCAGTTTTCGAACTTGGAGAAGTTGTGGGTGGGGAGGTGCAAGCTGATTACGGACATGGGAATTGGGTGTATTGCAGTCGGGTGTAAAAAGTTGAGGTTGATTTGCTTGAAGTGGTGTGTGGGTGTTGGCGATTTGGGGGTGGAGTTGATTGCTATCAAGTGTGAGGAACTTCGTAGTTTGGATCTCTCTTATTTACCTGTGAGCCCTCTCTCTATCTCTCTCTCTCTCTCTCTCTCTCTCTCTCTCTCTCTCTCTCTGTTTCAATTTTTTCTTATCTCTGCTTGTCTGCTCTTTCAATCTTTTGGATGAAACTTGAAGTTCAGTTGATCAAGTGCTGCAATTAAATTATGTTATATGTATATCTTTAATTAACGGAATAATCTTACATGTATTTGCTGTTATTCTGGAAGGCAATCCGGAGACAAGGATTTTGTAGAGGAAGCTTGTGCTTTGGTCAATGCTATGCGCAATTAGGGATTTCGATTTTTTTAATTTTACAGCTTGAATTATGTTTGAAAACGAGGTAAATAATTGAATGGAGGTTAATTTTTCTATTGAAATTATTGGCATCATTAGTGGCCGAATCTGTTGCACATGGAACGCTGAGTTAGCGGAAGTTTTTAATAGTTGGTGATTTTGAGCTAAATAGCAAGGTTTAATGAGCACAATGTTGGTAATTACAAGTGGTGCTCAGATTTTTGAACCAGCTCTGCTGGGAAAAGAAATTAAGAAACAAAAGGTCTGGTAAAAAGTTGTTTAGGTCATTTCCTTTTCTTTTTTTTTGATGATTTTGTTTAGTTCATTTCTGTTTTTCATCCAGAACAAATGAAGTGATGTTTATCAGGTCCCACTGTTACAAAGAAATTCAGAATTAATATTTCTATTTTGAATTTTTCATTCAATTTTGAGTTAGACAATGCTTGATTACATCTTGTTTATTAAAATATTTTTGCGGGGTCATCTGGTTGAGATAACTGATTTCGTATGTTTCTTGTGATGGACAGATCACAGATAAATGTCTGCCATCAATTTTTAAACTGCAATATCTTGAAGATTTGGTTCTTGAAGGATGCTTTGGCATTGATGATGACAACACTGATGTCTTCAAACAAGGTTGCAGAACATTAAAGGTATATGTGGAAGGTTAGCTTGGCACTTTTAGTTTGTTAAATTGTCTGAACGGTAAAGATAGCACGAAGATGTTGTTGTTCGGCTTGTAATTGGACAGGAAGTGCAGGATGCCAGCTTTGACCTACCAATAGTTCACCAATTTCTGTGGCATTAGGAGTGTGAAAGTGGAAAGAAGCTAATTTATTTTTCCCTTTTTCTGTTTTATCAAAAAAACAAAATGGTATAATGATTGCATTAATCTGTGTATGTTCTTTTATTATTATTATTATTATTATTTTTGGCTCAGTATGGCTTTTTTTAATATCCTGATGAACATGAGTTATCTAACATACTAACTAATGTTGCCTTATGCAGAAACTTGATATCTCTGGCTGTCAAAACATTACTCACATCGGTCTGTCTGCATTAATAAGCAGTTCTGGATGTCTTGAACAACTTAATTTAGCGGATGGGTCTCCTGTAATCTTCTGCTTCCTTTATAATTTTCAACACTTCAGGTTTTGAGATTTCGTTTTCTTTTTGGTCTTTGGTCCAGGGGATTCCAGCTGTAGCTAATTGTTCAAAGTTGATGATCCAGGTGACTCTTGCTCTGGCTGATGGGTTGAACAAACTTTCAATGTTGCAGTCGATATATTAGATGGCTGCCTGGTTACCTCTCTGGATTATTAAGGCTGTTGGATATTCATGCTCGTCACTAAAGGAGCTGAGTTTAAGCAAATGCTTGGGTGTGACAGATGAAGCTCTCTCGTTTGTTGTTTCAAAACACAGAGATTTGAGAAAGCTTGATATCACATGCTGCCGCATGATAACTGACCTTTCCATTGCAAGCATTGCAAGTTCATGCACCAGTCTTACTCTCAAGATGGAGTCGTGTAGCCTAGTTTCAAGAGAAGCATTCATCTTGATTGGACAGCGATGCCATTCTCTTGAGGATCTGACCTAACCGATAACGAAATTGATGATGAAGGTTTACATCCTCTCCATCATCTCCCTGCAATTATAAAATCCCATCAACTGTTATTCTTACCATTCTCTTTTTGTAGGTCTTAAATCTATTCTTCTTGTGCCGGACTTTCCAACCTAAAAGTAGGAATCTGCCTGAACATAACTGACAGGGGGCTTTTCCTATGTTGGCAAGTCCTGCCCGAAGTTAAAAGAGCTAGATCTCTACAGGTTTGTCCTTGAAATTTATGAGCTTTTGCATTTCTTATTCCTGTCACAAGGTGAATAGTCTATACTTTCTTTCTTCCTCTTCTTAAAATTTTTATACCTGTAGTCTATACTTTCTTTGAAGACTTTGATAATGATTTTGAAATTACAACCTTGGTGATGGTTCATGCGTGAGCCTAAATGGCTCATGATCTAATTGGCAATGAAGCCCCTCTTGCTATTTAAGAAGTATTATTTGACGCACACACATACTCATAGATTGTAGAATTGTTATCCATGGTAACCAGAGATTATAATCTTTGTTCAGGTCGACAGGGATAACAGATGCAGGTATTTCAGCTATTGCTTGTGGCTGCCCCGAACTTGAGATGATTAATGCAGCCTATTGCACCGCCATCACTGATAGCTCCTTGATATCCTTATCGCAATGCCCTAAGTTGAAAACGCTTGAGATTCGGGGGTTGTACTCTGCTGACTTCAGTTGGTCTAGCAGCTATCGCCAACAAGTGTACGCAACTTACTCGTCTAGACATAAAGAAGTGTCACAACATCGACGATAGAGGGATGGTTTCAATAGCTTGCTTCTCCCAAAACCTAAGACAGGTTTTCTTCCTCATTCTTCACTTCCCGTAGTGACATAACATATGCAAGAAAGCTTTACTGGAAAAACTAATGTGGTGCCGTTCTTTGCAGATAAATTTTCATACAGCTCAATTACTGATCTGGGTCTACTTTCCCTCTCTAGCCTTAGCAGCCTGCAAACCTTTACGGTTATCCATGTACAGGGCTTGACTCCAAGAGGACTGGCTGTGCTTTATTGGCATGTGGAGGGGCTAAAAAAAGTGAGCTCCATCTTTCATTAAGATCGCTGTTGCCTGATCCTTTTATCAAACACATGGAAGCGCGTGGATGTGTATTTGAATGGAGAAATAAAGTGTTTCAGGTATGTAGCAAACTACCAGAACATAACTTTTTAACTTGAACCTGTGGCAGCAGCAACACTTCTTACCAAGCAATAAAAATGTGGATATCATTGCTGTACCTTGCCTTCTCCATAGACTTAGATTAGTACCATGATCTGATAATTTGGAACGTGTAATCAAATAGAAGTGAGGCTGACCTTTGGCCCCAAGTTTTAGTACTAGACTTCAGACTTTCAGAGAAAAAGCCTATTTTGGTCTCTGACAGTCCTTTGCCAGTTTTCTATAATTTAGTCCTTCAATCCTAAAGATAGTGGTGGTGTTTCACCCTTCCATTCAATGTCATTCAAAAATCAATGCCAAAGTCATCGAATTGTTGGCATGGACATTGTTTATCTGGTACCTTTAGCACTTCTATTGAAATTTTATGCATATTTTTTGATGGAGATAGTATGGAGGCATTATTGATATAATTACTGCTAATCTGGTTGTTACTTAGATTACTTTTGTCCCATTTGCAGGCTGAAGTGGATCCCAAGTGTTGGAAACTACAGTTGGAAGATCCGACGCATTAGAAACTTTTCTAATCTTTGAATGCAAAATATGGCGGATGGGGGGAGGAGTTTTCTCTTTTGTAAAGCGTAAAAGATCTTATTTTGATTGTTCATGGAGCTTTCAAAAAACCTCAGAATTCGTTACACATAACGGTGTTACCCTTTTGTAAATGTTGAAGCAATGTGGCTAGGTTAGCTTGAATGATACTCGCTATTTTGGGAGAAAATATAGAAATTCTCTTGGGAGCAGAGTTTATCTTTAACAGTGGGTTCTTTTGAGAGACTAAATTATCAGTGTACTCGAATTTTTCTTGATCTCTTATTAAATGGCTTTTCTAGAATTATTCTGGGATCAATTAGAGTCATTGGCGTTGAACGAAGTACTAGATACAATTTAATAATATTAGGTGTTGCTATTATATTCTTACAAATTGATTCGGAAAAAAAATCCTTTAAAAATAAAAATATCAATAAAAAAAATATGACTACAATTTAACTGTTAGGCTTTTTTTTTTTGTCCCTGGAGATAGCTCTCATGTAGACTTATGCTAAATATGTGGGAGCATATCTAGTGAAAAAACTATTTGCATATAAACTATACTTGTAGGCTTCATCCGAAATAAGACTCATTAAAGAGAGAGAGAGAGTATTATTATGAAAATGATACACGCACATGTATCATTTTTTTTCGTTAGAAAAGTCTTCGTTTTTTTTTTGTTTTTGGGAGAAGTGAATCAAAGGGGCTGCTCGTTGGCCTCTTTTTTATAAGCAACAATTATCATCCCTTTTATCCCTAAATATAAGTAACATTTACAAGTGTCTTAAATTTTCATAAGAAGTTTCCTATTTGATTCATATTAATTACTTATTTTAATATTTAATATATTTATTATCTTATTTCTCAAAACATCATCTCTAGTCATCACACTTTCTTTCTTTTTCATAATTTTTTGATTATACTAATTTTTTTATTCTCTTTCTTATATTCTCTCTCGCCCATAAACAAAGGTATTTTAGAGAAAAAACTTCTAATTTTTTCTATTTATTCTCTTTTACTAACTTTTTAATCTACGTAATAAAAGTCTAAAGTTATTTATAAAAAGAACAAAAGGAATGTTTTGAATGAATTTACCAAAAATATTTTTTTAAAAAAAACACACAGAACTCATTTCGAGGGCAATTACTTGCAAGAAAATAATTTCCAGCAAGTTTTAATCACAAATGAGTAGTTGTTATTTATTATCCTGAAGCTTGTCATTGTGACTGTTCTATTATCACTGACACTTTTTAATAATTATGTTATTTACTTAAGATTTCACAATAATTCTTCCTTAATTTTATGAATGTAACCAAATGAGTGTTTGGCTAAACAAAAAAGTGATTTCATGCAAATTGAGACAAAAAATCCTCTTATGTACTTACTTCATATACTATAAAATTACTTTTTAAAACCATGATGTGATTTCCACGCAATCACTCCCTCCTCTCTAAGTTGAAGGGCCAGAGATGAGAATGCACCAAGAAAGCCACAAACCTGCCGCGTAGACTTGGGTTGGGTTGTTGCAAACAGTCATCTTTGTCACCAATTGTACTAACATTGAATAGTACCCTTGTTGAAGTTGTATGGTCAATCCCCCACATGTCTTATTTACATCCATTCAATAACTTCAATCATGAGAGTGTTCTGTGTAGGCCCCAACATGAACTACACATTCCTGGTTTGTGTGTATCGTATATTTCATCCTATTTCATGTTTAATATTCCTAGTATTGATTTGTTATAATACTAAGTGGCGCCATGTTGGAAGCAAACAAATAATATAATTATGCTTTAAAAAAAAATCATGTTCTTATGTGAGAGAGTATACAGCTAAATGGCTCATGGGAGACAGATCCTAAGTTTTGTATTATAATTTCTTTCAACGGTGGTTTGCTAAGATTAGATAAAATATAATCTAAATTATATTTGGATCAACTGTAAGCATAATAAGAGGATCATTTGAAATGTAAATTTTGCAAAACTTTATAATTTATTTGTGCTCTTCCTTTTATTATTTTGTCTCTCAAAGATTTACAAATTTCATAGTAAAAACAAAATCCAAATTATAGAAATATGAATCCTTCTTAAAATCCCTATGCAAATGAGAAGGTGGGTAAAAACAAAAGGTCCCACCGGGAGTCGAACCCAGGTCGCTGGATTCAAAGTCAGAGTGCTAACCACTACACCATGGAACCTTTATTGACAAGAACTTTAATTACATATATTATATCTATTCTCCCTGTCCCTGCGGGCTTAATCACACTTGTGTTAGAATGATTAGCATTAAGTTTTCAATTGGAAAACTTATAAATTCCCATTACTAATTTACCGTTTATATCTGTCCATCATAAGAACTATAATTTTTTGATCGAAATCATAAGAATTATAATTCATGATATAAGCAAAGAAAAAAAAAGAATTATAATTCAAATGACATAAACATTCCCCAAAATATTCTGTCTTTAGAATCAGAATTAGAAATGCTATTGCTAGCTTTCTTTTTTTGACCAGAAAAATTCTGACCTTTCAAGACTCGTTATTGTGGTAATTTACATTTCTAATAATAAATATATAATATAAATAGTAAAAGTAAAAAAAGTCCCCCGTTTTTTAAGGGCTGAAACCATTCCCTTATCATTTGAACTAACCCAAGATGGCTTAAATACTTTTTTAACACTAGATTTAATTTTATTATCAATATACAATATTTCTACCTAAATATAATGACACTGCATCCAAATATTGCAGAACATGAATAACAAAATAAAACTTTAGACATCTTTCAAATCAAATCTCATGTGATTAAGTTTGAACAAATGTAAGAAGACAGAATATTGATCCAAAAAATACATAAGAAAACATTTATAAAATATTTATTCTGGGACAATTTTTATATTTCAAATTTAATTTTTATTAACTTT